AATATCTACAAAACAGTGACATCCTCTAGAATACATTCATTGATGTCAGATATCTACAAAACTGTAACATCCTCTAGAATACATTTATTGATGTCAAATATCTATAAAACTGTGACATCCTCCAGAATACATTCATTGATGTCAAATATCTATAAAACTGTGACATTCTCCAGAATACATTCATTGATGTCAAATATCTACAAAACAGTGACATCCTCTAGAATACATTCATTGATGTCAAATATCTACAAAACAGTGACATCCTCTAGAATACATTCATTGATGTCAGATATCTACAAAACTGTAACATCCTCTAGAATACATTTATTGATGTCAAATATCTATAAAACTGTGACATCCTCCAGAATACATTCATTGATGTCAAATATCTATAAAACTGTGACATTCTCCAGAATACATTCATTGATGTCAAATATCTACAAAACAGTGACATCCTCTAGAATACATTCATTGATGTCAAATATCTACAAAACAGTGACATCCTCTAGAATACATTCATTGATGTCAGATATCTACAAAACTGTAACATCCTCTAGAATACATTTATTGATGTCAAATATCTATAAAACTGTGACATCCTCCAGAATACATTCATTGATGTCAAATATCTATAAAACTGTGACATTCTCCAGAATACATTCATTGATGTCAAATATCTACAAAACAGTGACATCCTCTAGAATACATTCATTGATGTCAAATATCTACAAAACAGTGACATCCTCTAGAATACATTCATTGATGTCAGATATCTACAAAACTGTAACATCCTCTAGAATACATTTATTGATGTCAAATATCTATAAAACTGTGACATCCTCCAGAATACATTCATTGATGTCAAATATCTATAAAACTGTGACATTCTCCAGAATACATTCATTGATGTCAAATATCTACAAAACAGTGACATCCTCTAGAATACATTCATTGATGTCAAATATCTACAAAACAGTGACATCCTCTAGAATACATTCATTGATGTCAGATATCTACAAAACTGTAACATCCTCTAGAATACATTTATTGATGTCAAATATCTATAAAACTGTGACATCCTCCAGAATACATTCATTGATGTCAAATATCTATAAAACTGTGACATTCTCCAGAATACATTCATTGATGTCAAATATCTACAAAACAGTGACATCCTCTAGAATACATTCATTGATGTCAAATATCTACAAAACAGTGACATCCTCTAGAATACATTCATTGATGTCAGATATCTACAAAACTGTAACATCCTCTAGAATACATTTATTGATGTCAAATATCTATAAAACTGTGACATCCTCCAGAATACATTCATTGATGTCAAATATCTATAAAACTGTGACATTCTCCAGAATACATTCATTGATGTCAAATATCTACAAAACAGTGACATCCTCTAGAATACATTCATTGATGTCAAATATCTACAAAACAGTGACATCCTCTAGAATACATTCATTGATGTCAGATATCTACAAAACTGTAACATCCTCTAGAATACATTTATTGATGTCAAATATCTATAAAACTGTGACATCCTCCAGAATACATTCATTGATGTCAAATATCTATAAAACTGTGACATTCTCCAGAATACATTCATTGATGTCAAATATCTACAAAACAGTGACATCCTCTAGAATACATTCATTGATGTCAAATATCTACAAAACAGTGACATCCTCTAGAATACATTCATTGATGTCAGATATCTACAAAACTGTAACATCCTCTAGAATACATTTATTGATGTCAAATATCTATAAAACTGTGACATCCTCCAGAATACATTCATTGATGTCAAATATCTATAAAACTGTGACATTCTCCAGAATACATTCATTGATGTCAAATATCTACAAAACAGTGACATCCTCTAGAATACATTCATTGATGTCAAATATCTACAAAACAGTGACATCCTCTAGAATACATTCATTGATGTCAGATATCTACAAAACTGTAACATCCTCTAGAATACATTTATTGATGTCAAATATCTATAAAACTGTGACATCCTCCAGAATACATTCATTGATGTCAAATATCTATAAAACTGTGACATTCTCCAGAATACATTCATTGATGTCAAATATCTACAAAACAGTGACATCCTCTAGAATACATTCATTGATGTCAAATATCTACAAAACAGTGACATCCTCTAGAATACATTCATTGATGTCAGATATCTACAAAACTGTAACATCCTCTAGAATACATTTATTGATGTCAAATATCTATAAAACTGTGACATCCTCCAGAATACATTCATTGATGTCAAATATCTATAAAACTGTGACATTCTCCAGAATACATTCATTGATGTCAAATATCTACAAAACAGTGACATCCTCTAGAATACATTCATTGATGTCAAATATCTACAAAACAGTGACATCCTCTAGAATACATTCATTGATGTCAGATATCTACAAAACTGTAACATCCTCTAGAATACATTTATTGATGTCAAATATCTATAAAACTGTGACATCCTCCAGAATACATTCATTGATGTCAAATATCTATAAAACTGTGACATTCTCCAGAATACATTCATTGATGTCAAATATCTACAAAACAGTGACATCCTCTAGAATACATTCATTGATGTCAAATATCTACAAAACAGTGACATCCTCTAGAATACATTCATTGATGTCAGATATCTACAAAACTGTAACATCCTCTAGAATACATTTATTGATGTCAAATATCTATAAAACTGTGACATCCTCCAGAATACATTCATTGATGTCAAATATCTATAAAACTGTGACATTCTCCAGAATACATTCATTGATGTCAAATATCTACAAAACAGTGACATCCTCTAGAATACATTCATTGATGTCAAATATCTACAAAACAGTGACATCCTCTAGAATACATTCATTGATGTCAGATATCTACAAAACTGTAACATCCTCTAGAATACATTTATTGATGTCAAATATCTATAAAACTGTGACATCCTCCAGAATACATTCATTGATGTCAAATATCTATAAAACTGTGACATTCTCCAGAATACATTCATTGATGTCAAATATCTACAAAACAGTGACATCCTCTAGAATACATTCATTGATGTCAAATATCTACAAAACAGTGACATCCTCTAGAATACATTCATTGATGTCAGATATCTACAAAACTGTAACATCCTCTAGAATACATTTATTGATGTCAAATATCTATAAAACTGTGACATCCTCCAGAATACATTCATTGATGTCAAATATCTATAAAACTGTGACATTCTCCAGAATACATTCATTGATGTCAAATATCTACAAAACAGTGACATCCTCTAGAATACATTCATTGATGTCAAATATCTACAAAACAGTGACATCCTCTAGAATACATTCATTGATGTCAGATATCTACAAAACTGTAACATCCTCTAGAATACATTTATTGATGTCAAATATCTATAAAACTGTGACATCCTCCAGAATACATTCATTGATGTCAAATATCTATAAAACTGTGACATTCTCCAGAATACATTCATTGATGTCAAATATCTACAAAACAGTGACATCCTCTAGAATACATTCATTGATGTCAAATATCTACAAAACAGTGACATCCTCTAGAATACATTCATTGATGTCAGATATCTACAAAACTGTAACATCCTCTAGAATACATTTATTGATGTCAAATATCTATAAAACTGTGACATCCTCCAGAATACATTCATTGATGTCAAATATCTATAAAACTGTGACATTCTCCAGAATACATTCATTGATGTCAAATATCTACAAAACAGTGACATCCTCTAGAATACATTCATTGATGTCAAATATCTACAAAACAGTGACATCCTCTAGAATACATTCATTGATGTCAGATATCTACAAAACTGTAACATCCTCTAGAATACATTTATTGATGTCAAATATCTATAAAACTGTGACATCCTCCAGAATACATTCATTGATGTCAAATATCTATAAAACTGTGACATTCTCCAGAATACATTCATTGATGTCAAATATCTACAAAACAGTGACATCCTCTAGAATACATTCATTGATGTCAAATATCTACAAAACAGTGACATCCTCTAGAATACATTCATTGATGTCAGATATCTACAAAACTGTAACATCCTCTAGAATACATTTATTGATGTCAAATATCTATAAAACTGTGACATCCTCCAGAATACATTCATTGATGTCAAATATCTACAAAACAGTGACATCCTCTAGAATACATTCATTGATGTCAAATATCTATAAAACAGTGACATCCTCTAGAATACATTCACTGATGTCAAATATCTACAAAACTGTGACGTCCTCCTGAATACATTATTTCTTGTCAGATATCTACAAAACTGTAACATCCTCCAAAATACATTCAATAGTATTAGATATCTACAAAACTGACATCGTCCAGAATATATTTATTGATGTCAGTTAACTACGAAACTGAGATATCCTCCAGGATATATTTATTGATATCAGTTAACTACAAAACTGTGACATCCTCCAGGATACAGCCATTTATGTCAGATATCTACAAAACTGTGACTTCCCCTAGAATACATTCAATGATGTCACTTTAACAACATCAATCTAATATTCCATAGTATAACTTTTACTGATGATGCCAAATTATCTACAACATTCTAACATCCTCCAGAATAATGTCATTATAACAATGTCAATGTAATATTCCATAGTACATGTGTTTTCATGGTAAATTAAACACACCTCTCATACTACCTTCAGAATGAATACCTTGATGTCAGTTCCTTCAGACATCTTCCTTAGTATAAGTTTATTGATGTCAAATATAAAAAAAAACTGTGACATCCTCCTGAATAAATACATTGATGTCAGAATAATAACATCGACCTTATATTCCGTAGTGTAAATTACCCCACCCCCCCCACCTCCTTAAGACAGCAATCTACTTACATATTATAAGCTTATCAAAGTCAGATTAACTACAAAACTATGATATCCTTCAGAAAGAATATCTTGAAATCAGTATAACAATATCAATGTTATAATCTATAGTATTAGTTTATTAATGTTATATTTTGTAGTACAAGTTTTATTGATGTAAGATTAACATAATTAGAATGAAAACTTTGATGTCATTATAACAACATCAATCTTACATTCCACCGTATAAGTTTAAATGATGTCAGATTAACAAACTTTAGAAAGAAGACAGTATAGCAATATCATGTATATATCAGTATAATATTCCATAGTATTACTTTATAAATGTTAGATTATCTACAAAACTATGACATCCTCCAGAATGAATACCTCGATGTCAGTATAACAGCATCAATCTTATATTCCACAGTATAAGTTCATTGATGACAAATTAACAACCTCCAGAATGGACTCCAAAATAGTACAGTACATTCCACTCACTCCTGCTTCGAAGTCCAATATTTCTGTTTATTTGCGACATGTTGTTTTACATCATCAGGGGTATCAATAAAGAATGTCGTATTTTCTCGACGAGATAATCAAATCTCCTTATGTCTACAGGTTTACAATAATTGAAAAGCAAACTCTTAACAAATACTCAAATATCTCCAGATATGTCGGTTGAGATATAAGTGTTTGATTAGTTAAGCGACCTTCAGACACGTAGTTCCATTATGAAATAAGTGAATAAGGATTGGCCCCCTTTTTCGACTAGATAATCAACTATCCTGACGTCTCCAGCTTGACAACTGTAGAATAGTACATTCCAAACTGTATTGTCTCGTTGTTCCAGATGTTCTTGGTATTTCTCCACAATATGCCAGGTAAGATCAAACAAAATTGTTCAGGGCAGCGATCATCAGAAATGTGAATCCGTCATTGGATCGTGAGTCAGGTTTGACTATTTTCGAACAAGGAAATCCAATGCCCGGAACAATCTAGCTTCAAACCAGCTCAGCGGCGAAAATCAAATTTCCATGCTTTGTTGTTCCAGCTGTTCTGGGTATTTATCTCTGATATGTCGGGTAAGATCAAACTGTTTGTTAAGTATAGCGATCTTCAGACATGTCAATCCATCATTTGATTGTGTGTTAGGATTAACTCCTTTTCCAACCAAGTAATCAAATATGCTGACGTCTCCAACAACACAACAGTTGAGCAGTACATCAAGACCGTTCGGGTCTCGTTGTTGAAGCTGTCCTGGGTATTTGTCCACGACATGTTTGGTTAGATCATAGTGTTTCTTCAATACAGAGACCATCAGGCATGTCAATCCGTCAGAGGAACGAACGTATGCCAGCTTTAACTCCTTTTCCAACAAGGTATTCAAATATCTGGATAACTCCACCTATACAACAGCTGAGCAGAGCATCAAAACCTTTCGCGTCGCGTTCTTCCACCTGTTCTGGGTATCTGTCCACCACATGTCGTGTAAGATCAAAATGATTGTTCATTGAAGCAATCATCAGACATGTCAATCCATCAGAGGAACGTACATCAGTTTTTACTCCTTTTCCAACAAGGTAATCAAATATCCTGACGTCTCCACCTAGATAACTGTAGACCAGTGCATCAACACCGTTCTTGTTTTGCTGTTTCAGCTGTTCTGGGTATTTGTCCACAATGTGTCGTGTTAGATCAAAATGTTTGTTCATTGCAGCAATCATCAGGCATGTCGATCCGTCAGAAGAACATCCGTCAGGCTTTACTCCTTTTCCAACAAGATAATCAAATATCCTGACGTCTCCACCTTGACAACTGTAGACCAGTGCATCAACACCGTTCTTATCTCGTTGTTCCAGCTGTTCTGGGTATTTGTCCACGATGTGTCGGGTAAGATCAAACTGTTTGTTCATTGCAGCAATCATCAGACATGTTAATCCATCAGAGGAATGTCCATCAGGTTTTACTCCTTTTCCATCAATGTAATCAAATATCCTGACGTCTCCACTTTTACAACTGTACACCAGTGCATCAACACCGTTCTTGTCTCGTTGTTCCAGCTGTTCTGGGTATTTGTCCACGATGTGTCGGGTTAGATCAAACTGTTTGTTCATTGCAGCAATCATCAGGTATGTCAATCCATCAGAGGAATGTCCATCAGGTTTTACTCCTTTTCCATCAATGTAATCAAATATCCTGACGTCTCCACTTTTACAACTGTAGACCAGTGCATCAACACCGTTCTTGTCTCGTTGTTCCAGTTGTTGTGGGTATTTGTCCACGATGTGTCGGGTTAGATCAAAATGTTTCTGCATTGAAGCAATCATCAGACATGTCAATCCATCAGAAGAACGTCCGTCAGGTTTTACTCCTTTTCCAACAAGATAATCAAATATCCTGACGTCTCCACCTTGACAACAACAGAGCAGTACATCAAAACCTGTTTTGTCTCGTTGTTCCAGCTGTTCTGGGTATTTGTCCACGATGTGTCGGGTTAGATCAAAATGTTTGTTCATTGCAGCAATCATCAGGCATGTCGATCCGTCAGAAGAACATCCGTCAGGCTTTACTCCTTTTCCAACAAGATAATCAAATATCCTGACGTCTCCACCTTGACAACAACAGAGCAGTACATCAAAACCTGTTTTGTCTCGTTGTTCCAGCTGTTCTGGGTATTTGTCCACAATGTGTCGGATGAGATCAATATGTTTGCATTTTGTAGCAATCATCAGACATGTCAATCCATCAGAGGAACGTCTGTCAGGTTTTACTCCTTTTCCAACAAGATAATCAAATATCCTGACGTCTCCACCTAGACAACTGTAGACCAGTGCATCAACACCGTTCTTGTTTTGCTGTTCCAGCTGTTCTGGGTATTTGTCCACAATGTGTCGTGTTAGATCAAAATGTTTGTTCATTGCAGCAATCATCAGGCATGTCGATCCGTCAGAAGAACGTCCGTCAGGCTTTACTCCTTTTCCAACAAGATAATCAAATATCCTGACGTCTCCACCTTGACAACAACAGAGCAGTACATCAAAACCTGTTTTGTCTCGTTGTTCCAGCTGTTCTGGGTATTTGTCCACAATGTGTCGGGTTAGATCAAAATGTTTGTTCATTGCAGCAATCATCAGGCATGTCGATCCGTCAGAAGAACATCCGTCAGGCTTTACTCCTTTTCCAACAAGATAATCAAATATCCTGACGTCTCCACCTTGACAACAACAGAGCAGTACATCAAAACCTGTTTTGTCTCGTTGTTCCAGCTGTTCTGGGTATTTGTCCACAATGTGTCGGGTTAGATCAAAATGTTTGTTCATTGCAGCAATCATCAGGCATGTCGATCCGTCAGAAGAACATCCGTCAGGCTTTACTCCTTTTCCAACAAGATAATCAAATATCCTGACGTCTCCACCTTGACAACAACAGAGCAGTACATCAAAACCTGTTTTGTCTCGTTGTTCCAGCTGTTCTGGGTATTTGTCCACAATGTGTCGTGTTAGATCAAAATGTTTGTTCATTGCAGCAATCATCAGGCATGTCGATCCGTCAGAAGAACGTCCGTCAGGCTTTACTCCTTTTCCAACAAGATAATCAAATATCCTGACGTCTCCACCTTGACAACAACAGAGCAGTACATCAAAACCTGTTTTGTCTCGTTGTTCCAGCTGTTCTGGGTATTTGTCCACAATGTGTCGGATGAGATCAATATGTTTGCATTTTGTAGCAATCATCAGACATGTCAATCCATCAGAGGAACGTCTGTCAGGTTTTACTCCTTTTCCAACAAGATAATCAAATATCCTGACGTCTCCACCTAGACAACTGTAGACCAGTGCATCAACACCGTTCTTGTTTTGCTGTTCCAGCTGTTCTGGGTATTTGTCCACAATGTGTCGTGTTAGATCAAAATGTTTGTTCATTGCAGCAATCATCAGGCATGTCGATCCGTCAGAAGAACGTCCGTCAGGTTTTACTCCTTTTCCAACAAGATAATCAAATATCCTGACGTCTCCACCTAGACAACTGTAGACCAGTGCATCAACACCGTTCTTGTTTTGCTGTTCCAGCTGTTCTGGGTATTTGTCCACAATGTGTCGTGTTAGATCAAAATGTTTGTTCATTGCAGCAATCATCAGGCATGTCGATCCGTCAGAAGAACGTCCGTCAGGCTTTACTCCTTTTCCAACAAGATAATCAAATATCCTGACGTCTCCACCTTGACAACAACAGAGCAGTACATCAAAACCTGTTTTGTCTCGTTGTTCCAGCTGTTCTGGGTATTTGTCCACGATGTGTCGGGTTAGATCAAAATGTTTGTTCATTGCAGCAATCATCAGGCATGTCGATCCGTCAGAAGAACATCCGTCAGGCTTTACTCCTTTTCCAACAAGATAATCAAATATCCTGACGTCTCCACCTTGACAACAACAGAGCAGTACATCAAAACCTGTTTTGTCTCGTTGTTCCAGCTGTTCTGGGTATTTGTCCACAATGTGTCGGATGAGATCAATATATTTGTATTTTGTAGCAATAATCAGATATGTCAATCCGCCATAAGAACGTGTGTCAGGATTACCTCCTTTTCCAACAATGTAATCAAATATCCTGACGTCTCCACTTAGACAACTGTAGAACAGTGCATCATCACCATACTTGTTTCGTTGTTCCAGCTGTTCTGGGTATTTGTCCACGATGTGTCGAGTAAGATCAAAATGTTTGTGCAATGAAGCAATCATCAGACATGTCAATCCATCAGAGGAACGTGTGACAGGTTTTACTCCATTTCCGACAAGGTAATCAAATATCCTGACGTCTCCACCTTGACAACAACAGAACAGTACATCAAAACCTGTTTTGTCTCGTTGTTCAAGCTGTTCTGGGTATTTATCAACGACATGTCGGATGAGATCAATATGTTTGCATTTTATAGCAATCATCAGACATGTTAATCCATCAGAAGAACGTGTGTCAGGATTACCTCCTTTTCCAACAAGGTAATCAAATATCCTGACGTCTCCACTTTTACAACTGTAGAACAGTGCATCTTCAACGTTCTTGTTTCGTTGTTCCAGCTGTTCTGGGTATTTGTCCACAATGTGTCGAATGAGATCAATATATTTGCATTTTGTAGAAATAATCAGCCATGTCATTCCACCAGAAGAACGTGGGTCAGGATTACTTCCGTTTCCATCAATGTAATCAAATATCCTGACGTCTCCACTTAGACAACTGTAGAACAGTGCATCATCACCGTTCTTGTTTTGCTGTTCCAGCTGTTCTGGGTATTTGTCCACAATGTGTCGGATGAGATCAATATATTTGCATTTTGTAGCAATAATCAGCCATGTCGATCCACCAGAAGAACGTGTGTCAGGATTACCTCCTTTTCCAACAATGTAATCAAATATCCTGACGTCTCCACTTAGACAACTGTAGAACAGTGCATCATCACCGTTCTTGTTTTGCTGTTCCAGCTGTTCTGGGTATTTGTCCACGATGTGTCGGGTAAGATCAAAATGTTTGTGCAATGAAGCAATCATCAGACATGTCGATCCATCAGAGGAACGTGTGACAGTTTTTACTCCATTTCCGACAAGGTAATCAAATATCCTGACGTCTCCACCTTGACAACAACAGAGCAGTACATCAAAACCTGTTTTGTCTCGTTGTTCCAGCTGTTCTGGGTATTTGTCCACGATGTGTCGGATGAGATCAAAATGTTTGTTCATTGTGGCAATCATCAGGCATGTCAATCCATCAGAGAAACGTCCATCAGGTTTTACTCCTTTTCCAATGAGGTAATCAAATGTAGTGACGTCTCCAGCTTCACAACAGCACAGCAGTAAATAGCAGCCTGTGTGTTTTCGTTGTTCAAGTAGTTCGGGATACTTATCAACGATTTGTCGAATAAGGCCAAATTGGTTGTTCAAAATAGCGACAATCAGACATATTAATCTATCAGTAGTACACGTGTCAGGTTTTACTCCTTCTCTAAGAAGGTAATCCAATGTTCTTAAATCTCCAGCTAAAAAACACCATAGCAGCACAGCACAGCCATTCAGGCTTTGTAGTTCCAGTTGTTCTGGGTATTTATCAACCATACATCGAGTAAGATCAAAATGTTTGTTAAGTACAGCGATTATCAGACTTGTCAATCCGTCAGAGGAACGTGCGTCAGGTTTTACTCCTTTCCCAACAAGGTAATCAAATATCCTGACGTCTCCAGCTTTACAACAGCAGAGCAGTACATCCCAACCTTTCTGATCTATTTGTTCAAGTTGTTCTGGGTATTTATCCACGATATGTTTTGTTAGATCAAACTCTTTGTTCAGTACGGAGATCATCAGACATGTCGAACCATTACTTGCACATGTATCAGGCTTTACTCCTTTTGCGACAAGATAATCAAATATCTTCTGGTCGCCAGCTTTACTACAGTATAGCAGTACATTCCAACCGTTCTGGTCTCGTTGTTCAAGCTGTTCTGAATATTTATCCACAAGATGTTGTGCTAGATCTAATTGTTTGTTCGCTACAGCAATCATCAGACAGGTGGATCCATCAAATGTACCTGTGTCAGGTGTCAGTCCCTTTTCAACAAGGTAACGGAATAACTTTATGTCTCCAGCTTGACAACAATAGTGTAGTACATTCATACCCTTTTGGTCACTTTGATGAAGTTGTTCAGGGTAGGTGTTTATGATATGTCTCGTTATTTCTAGCTGCCTGTTACGTACAGCGCTCATCAGACATGATAACCCGTCTTGTGTTTGCGTATGAGGATTCATGCCCTGTTTGATCAAGAAGTCAAAAAGTTCAATGTCTCCATACATGCTACAAAACAGAAGTGCATCCCAACCATCGTCGTTACGTAGATGCAATTGATTTTGAAGGACTGCAGCGATGTATTTTGCGATTCGTCTCTGTTTGTGCCTCACAGCCACCATCAAACTTGTCATTCCTTTTTCAAATATTGGGTCAGAGTCCATCCATGTGACGATGAGAAATTTAAACATTTCTATGTTTCCTACTCTGCAACAAAGCATCAGAGCATTCGATTCATCACTGCCGTAAAGATGTTTTGGGTAGTTCTCCACTATAAAGCGAGCTAAACAGTTGTTACGATACGCTATTGCAGTCATCAAACAGGTGTTATCTGTTTTGTCTCTGTGCTCGAGTGAAATTCCAGTTTTCACTAGGAGTTCAAAGATGTGAATATTGTCCCTCACACAGCTCATCAATAAACAATTCATTCCATCACTGTTCACAACATTTAGCTGTTCGGGAAAGTTTTCTATAACGTACTGAAGTTTTTGTCTACTTCTATTGAGTGTCGCCATAATGAGACACGTCGATCCGTTAGATGTTGTACTCTCCGCCTTCATGCCGCTTTTGATAAGCAACTTAAACAATGGCAGCGTTCCGTACTGGCAGCAGTAATGAAGAGCGTCACATCCGTCGACGTTACAACTGGATAACACTTCCGGTTCCGTGGAAATGATATAACGCAGTAAGTCTCTACTGTTGTTGTCTATCGCGATCCTTAGAAGGGATACATCATCCCCGGACGTTCTGTTTGATGCCAAGTAAGTTTTGATACATCTGACCGCACTGCTGTCTACTTTCTCATGACCATTTTGATGAAGAAAGGTGGAGAGATCCGTATAATCTGGAATTAATGTAACATAATATTGTGGTGATATTACATGTTTACGGTAACATAATACGATATAATATGCTTTAAATAGAAACAATAAAATTGCTTAAAAGGAATGATGAGTCGCCATTTTAAGTGCTGAAAGTTACTTGTATATTTATAGAATTGTTCACAGATGGGCTATGTTGACATCAGTATACAAAACCTAGTAAAAATACATATAATGTAAAGAGATAGATTTTGTTCATAGTGCCTCTGATATCAAACTCTTGCATAAATCATGTGCACCATTTACCTTGTTTGAATTTGTATCTGTATACTGAGGTCAATTTTTTATTTCCAAAGCTTGAAATAATAATGATAACAAATTCTGTGATATTCAAATATGAAAAACATAGTCAGGTGCATGATATGTAATATTTTGAAAATTAGGTTATAGCTGAAAAATTGCGATAAATAGTAGAGTTTAGTCGCTTCTAATTCTTACCACTATTTGATTCCAACCAAGTTGTATTGCTCTTTCCTTCGCCCTCACTACTTGTGGCGTAACACCTATAGTATCCTTCGTCGGTATAATTGACGTTAGTGATAACTAGGGAGGGGCTGAGGACACCCCCTCCTAAGTACTTGTCGTTGTCTATATCAAGCTCCTCCTCCTCCCCGTATCGTATCCTCACCCATCTCACAGACGTCGCGGGGGGACAGGCCAGGACCGCACAATGCATCACTAACATTGTTCCTTCATCAGCATAGTATTCAGCTTGACTTATGCTTACAATAGGACATCCTATCGAATAAAACAGAGGGTCACCTGGTCTTAATTTGTTAAATATGGTACATATATATCAAAAGGCTACATTCAACATACACTTAGAAAAGGTAAATCTTTTGTAGGAGCGCCTTTGTATACCAAAAATGGACCGGGCTTGTCTGTCCACAGTACGGCAATACATTTACACTGAACGAAATAATTTCATTCCGTCATCCGAAATAGCAAATTGTTTAAATTCATATATATGTGTGAATGGTCAAATATTCGGATCTCAGTGTAATGAATCAGTGACTATTTAAAAGTCCCAATGAGTGGGACCAAAAGTCATCCTTAAATGGTTGGTCGAATTATTCACATGACCATATTCCATGGATGACGCGACAGAGTAAAATCTCCTTTACCATTTGGGCTGGTCAAAAACATCAGCTGTATGTTTGTTAATAAGATATGTGTTTAAGAGACTAATTTGGTACGTTGTGTACACTGGTCTGATGAACTGTATTTGTTCATTCGTGCAAGAGGTTGTTCTGGTGTGGTAGCACTACTTCGTAGAACTTTAATATATTTCAATTAATTCAAATGTTTCCGTTAAATATTGTTTATTGCAGTCATTGGTATATTTATATCAGTGACGGTCAACTTAAGTCAATACAAAATTTTGAAGCACCTGAATGCAATTGGTGTGCATGGTGGTTAAAGTTCAAAGGGTTTAAATATCAAACTCCTTATTTTAATGAATCGAATCTACCAAAGAAAAGGTTTTTTTTCATTTCAAACATACGAGACAATTATATGAAACATTTTGCTAAGTAGATTTCAATTATCAAAATGGTGTCTTAAGGCCGTTTTCATTCTAACTAATAATAGTTTATCGGACAAACTTAATTTGGAAATATTTTTTTGGAGATTTGAATTTTTTAGGAAAATTGCAATTTCATTTAGAATACACAGGTAGTCCTATGCAGAATCTACGTCAATTTTAAGGAAAGAAATACTGTGTACAAACAGATAGTTTAGCATGCGCTATTAAACATAGCAGAACATAAGTATAATTTGTTTTTGTACACTACAGTACACTGTACATCTCATTTTCATCAAAATATCCTTAACAGTTTAACATTGACGGCCCGGACAATATGCCATTAGAAAGAAAAAAACAAGAGGCCCATGGGCCTAAACGGTTATCTGACTACAAAGACTGAGCAGGAAGAACGGGAACTTTTCAACTTTCAATGAAATATTCTAAGAATTTGTTTTCCATGATGGTAGTTTTGGTCAGCAGTGGGTAACTTTTTGTAGGTAAAGCTATCAGAAAGCATTTAAACCTAAATCTGAAAAGATTTCTCGTTTTAAGGCACCGTCCCGCTGTCAACGGTGGTTAAACCTGCCTCATTTATATAAGAAATGATTTTTTCTAAATGATGTTTCATACTGAAATTGTTGTAATCTACTTTTCCTTTCTCGGGGCGCCGCGCTTTCGATCCCCCAGCCTCATTTATTCAAGAAACGATTGTCCTCCTCCCGTGGAACTGGAGAGGAAGTTTAAAAAGTGTTTTTCAAGATAGTGGCCATCTTGGACTTTAGGATCATTTCAGGCAAGTTTGACCTCAATCTCACTGGTGGAAGTTGAGAAGAAGTTGAATATGTGTTTTTCAAGATGGTGGTCACGGTGGCCATCTTGGATTTTGGACCGTCCCGAAAAATATCAACACTTGGTCAGGACCATCCCAGGATCATTTCAGGCAAGTTTCTGCTCAATCCCACTGGTAGAACTTGAGGAGAGGTTTAAAATAGGTGTTGTTTAGGAAAACTATGATTGTGCAATCATGTTACAAAATGGCCACCATGGCTGCCATGTTAAAGTTTTGACGGGGCTGAAAAATAACAACACTTTGTCGGCTTACTTTCCATAACATCCCCATCAGTTTTTAGCTCAATGACACCAGTGGAACTGGAGAAGAAGTTAAAAATGTGTTTTTTAAGATGGCGGCCATGGCGGTCATCTTGGATTTTGAACCGACCCGAAAAATACCAACACTTGGTCAGGACCATCTCAGGATCATTTCAGGCAAGTTTCAGCTCAATCCCACTGGTGGAACTTGAGAAGAAGTTTAAAATGATGAAAGTTTACGGACGGCTGACGGCTGACGGCGGACGACGACGGACGAAGCACGATAACTATAGGTCATCGTGCCTAAACCTAAAAGCCAGTATCAGTTGGTACAATTATGTCTCCTTCAATCTAAGGGGAGGCATAATGATTATAATCAGTGGCCGTACCGAGTTGTTATTAGAGATTGTATTAATGACGTTTTTGTGTTTTGTGGACGATATCATATACTAGAAATCCAGTAGGTAATCATGCATCTACCCCTATGTAAACAAAAAAGTTATCCAAGTAATTACATACTGACAAAGCTTCGTGCTTTCCTAATTGTGATAGAACCACGTCTTTTATAATGATAACTAGAATTTTGTTTTTGTGAACCTTATTAGCCAATAGAAAAACTCCGGTCTTAAAAATTACCAAAGGGCCATATCGCTTTATATAGTGGGGCACGAGACCCGAATTTAGAATGCGACACTCCTACCTCCCAAGATACATTAAAACTATAGCAAATTTGGTCAACGTAGGTGAAATAACATGGAAGTTATGCCGTGGACAAACTTCGGTATTAAAATTAAACAAAGGGTCATAACTCTGTATATAGTATGGCACGAGACCTAATTCCAGTGCACTGCACACCTTCTGTGAGTGATGCAGGTATACTTCAGGTTTGATTAGGACATCTTTAACGGTTTAGAAGTTATGCCGTGGACAAACTTCGGTATCAAAAATAAACAAAGGACCATAACTCTGTATATAGTGGGGCACAAACCTGATTTTAGTGTGAGAGATTCCGCCCTCCCAATATACATAATATGATAAGTATGGTCAACGTAGGTGAAATAACATAGAACGTATGTTCCGGACAAACTTCCGCATTAAAAATAAACAAGGGGCCATAACTCTGTATATAGTGAAGCATGATACCTAATTGTAATGCACTGCACACCTTGGGTGATGCAGATATAGTTCAAGCTTGATCAAGATATCTTTAACGGTTTGTAATTTACGGGCCGGACAAGAATTTACTGAAAATGTTCACTTATTTGACCTGTGACCTTGAGGTGAAGTTGAACTTGCGTACAGTGGTACTAAAACAATATTACACTGATACCTGATTGTTGCTTGGCATTTGTTGGTGAATAAACATTATACACAATGTGATTTTTGATAAACACCAAATGACCAATACAATTGAAAAACATGTGTTTGGTTGCTGCATTTTCAAAGGCAATCACTATAAAACCTGCAAAAAAATACAAACAAATATGGCTAAGATACAACCGCAAAGTATAAAATTGTCGGCCTTTTCATATATTACCGTCAGTGGTTCGGTTTTTGATGGTCATTCTGATATCTTCGGTTTTAATCTTCAATTTGGTGTTTGCATCGTCTGACAATCGAATGTCTCCTGCCCGTAAAAATGACTTGACACGCTCTGCTAAGCACAAGGCAGACGGTTCTGTTGGTGACGAAGCTCCTTTTATATCGACGGAGACAAGAATGCAATCTGTAAGGAGATAATATACATTTACAAAGAGATGTATTGGATTCTATCAATTTGATATGATCGATATCCATTACTCTGGCACATATCAAAAGTAATTTCAGTCACAGTGTGAAGGTGTCGATTTTGGAATTTAGCAAAATGGACGGTTCTTTCCATTCGCTGCATTCAAAGGAAAAGATTTCCTGTTCAGATGCAGCGAATATATAATGATGGTTCGTTTTAGTGCATCTATGCTATATACAATGTTGACATGTTGACTTAACTGCATCATTGATAACATATTTGTAAGCAGATATTACCAAACAATAGCTGAAAACTGTAGTGCTGAGTAGCACATTTAAAATAGAGCTCGGCATACTTGTTAAGAATGATGCCATTAGTTATAATAAGGCGCAAAAGATAACGCTGCTGAGTCAATCACATTTTTGATGCTACATAAAAAGAAAATATAATTTTTGTATTTCATTTAAATTTCAGACATATTTAACTCGTATGACATAATGTATATGGCGTTCAACGGGAAAACATTTAGTGTCCTCTACATATGTGATAACATCGACGCAAAATGACCAACGGACATAATCGACATAAGCAGACGACTTCAAGAACAGATAAGACATCAAAACAAACAAAAAATTAACATGAGGAACCCCGTCAAATCTAAATTCATAATGGGAAATATTTCCCGCCCACATGTGGTACCCACAATGATGTTAAGTCGTATATTTGTTTTTGTTACAGTCACTTATGCAATCAGAGAAAAAACACATACGTTCCAAGAGTTCCGGACTATTTATTCGACCTGGCTCTTGTGTATGTGTCTCCAGGTGTTTGCGGATATCCTCTTTAGATTCTTGTCGTGTAGTATCGATGTTATTTTCTATCAGAAATGCTACGTTGGCGTCACGGTCTGTACGAGGTCTCCGCGTTTGTGGCTCATCTATACAAAATAACGTTCCACATAATTTTTAAATAAGATATTGTAGATAACTGAAAGATATTGATAAGGAATATTAAACTAATAACACCTGAAAAGGAGTTTTATTTTTTTTAACTGAAGGAAAATAGGACCTGGTTACGTGGCAGTGAATTTTGAAGTGTAAATAAGCTTATATGAAAATAACATCCTATAATTTAACATCATCATATCAGATATGCTCTTATATTTTTTTATCCTTTAGATCATTGTACTAGTATTCGTAAAGGATATTGCAGATACAGATGTGTGCCAAACGAATATGTCGGGCATTTGATGATTGGTTGTTTATTGGTAATGATTAGTATTTGATAACTGAGATAATAATTAAAAAACAGAAAGACATCAACAGTAATAAAAAAAATCCGACTTATCTTGACTTATTAAGTATTATTAAGTTCATTATAGTTTTAAACATGGCAGCAGTTTCGGCCATTTTTTATTACTGGCCGACTCTAAAATAACAAAATTGTAACCAGCCCTTACTCTTAACCCTCCTTATACATTTTCCAAACAATATCTTAGGCACAATTGGCATTAAAATTCGATTCAAGGCGGCAATCGTAGCGGCCATCTGTGATAACTGACAGACCCCAAAATATCACAACTTTGTCAGAACCACGCGCTAGAAATTTTTATCATATTTCGTGAAATCCTTTTCAGTTAAATTTCCTTGAAATCCCATTTAAGATACCTGACATATTTAAATATTAACAAAACTTTGTCTGGACAATATACTGACCATTCCTATGAAATTTATAGAAATCCCCTCAGGTGAACAGAAGATTAAGTTCAAATATATTTTCAAATTGGCGGCTTTCCTGATACTTGATCGACCCCAACATAACAACACTTGGTCAAGACATAAACATATGAATGACGTTTCACTAAATCCACTCAGTTACATTTGAGTTTGAGTTTCAAGATGTGCAATGCTAACGCAAGACGAACAACGACTGATGGACGAAGACGGATCCCAATAAGTCATCTGGAGCCTACAAAGGAGTTACAAACATGCTAACTGATCATCATAATCAATATCTGCCAGCTAAATTGAAGACACCAAGACAGACATATAACCCAGTCCAGTAAATCAACCACGAATCTCTTTATAAGCATTACTTTTTAACACTTTTAATTCAAGTATTCCATTTGTTGCAGAAATACGTGCCATTTATATTTAATGGTAAAATATTCGTGATATTGTATTAAAATTACGTCACAAGGAATAACGTTTGATGTGCTTAACACAGTTCCTTATGTAAGCATATGATAAACGATAGAACAACACATTTTTCTCGTAGAAATAATGTAACACTTAAATTATATATCTTGTATAAATTTGCACTCACCAGGTTCTGATTCAATATCAGTTGTAACCTCGCTTATTCTTCTTTTCCGGAAGTGTGCAGTCACATTCTGATCAGTTGTATTTTGGATGGAACTCACTGGAGTATGATCTGATGATTAAATAAACATTTCTTATTGATCAGAAAAAGATTATACACTAAACATAAAAACCTTGATGTGTACTTAATCTGTATTCAAAGTGTTTACCTTGGATCATCTTGTCGACGACATACAGATGGATGGTTTCACTTTTCTTTTCAACTCGATTGTCCTTTGCGGTTGCGATTAAGCAGTAATTAGACTCATCAGATCTTCGGTCAGTATTCATAATAACAAGTGCCGGAGACCAAGGATTGCCAGCGATGTATTTCAAGTTGTCTATAACAATATCTTCCACAGGTTCCGGTGATCCCTTCAACCAATTAATGGAAGAAACTTGTGGGTTGACCGAACACATTAGGACGGCCGTCTGTCCCTCTGGTATCCGGGGTGATCGATTAAATACATTGATTGTAATATTACCTAAAACCATACAAGTACAACAGATTAAACATAGTTCTTGTAAATCAAAACAATTTTGAAATTTACGTTCATCTTTAATGAAAGAAGTAATAGTGACATATCCGACGAAAGAAGGTATCTGCTCCTTTCACAAGAAACATAAACAGGAACACACAGAAGAGTAACATTTTAAAAGGACAAAATAAAAACATGATTTTATCAAAATACAAAAGGAATGATATCTAAAAATATCTATCCTATATGGTAGTAATCGACTATACATTGTGTGTGATCGGCTTCAAAGAGATTTTAAATTACCGAGAAAATTGGAGACTTGCAGAAGCTGCTGATGCTGACAAGTAGACCTGTTGTGAGAATATATTATGTCGAATCGCCCAGTTATGGTATTTGAATACTGAGAAGGCTTCATCAAAAAAAAAAATTTCACTGGTAAATATATGGTGAATATCAGGAATATTTACTTTAATTTAACTAGAACTTGATACTTACATGGATCATGACAATGTTTACGATTTATTAAAATTAACATATCTGCATTTCTTCGTCAGTATAACAAGCATCATCTTAAGTGCATCAAGATAGATCGACAAGTTCTAGCTTCATTCAACCTCCAATCACGTTATATAATGTTGTTTTAAATTTGTGTGAGATAGAAACAGTCAAAAATTTTTGTAAATGGCGTCACAAGAGACTGGGTATCAAATTGCAGTAATGAGTTATTATTTGAATAACATTTCTTACTTTAATTTCTAATGTTATTTACTGTCCCTGTGATTTTACTTTTTTTTTGTGCTGTAATAGTCACTAATAATTTCACTCTTTACACTACCATTTTTCTTACCAAAATGAAAGCACGTCGTTCAAAAATTATTATGAGAGCTTATTTGTCAAAGATAGGCTAATAAAGATATCAATATATAGTTTCCACTGTTTTGTATCTTACTTTATGGGGGGAAACGACAGAGGCAAAGATGATATACAGCAAGGATGTAATCATGAGCTTAACTGAGTTCCTTGCAGAAAATATCTTTGTTGAAATTTGTGGCAAGATTTTCTTGCAGACTGTTGGCATTCCCATTCGCATGAAAACAGATAACACCCTATTGACTTGTTTTTGTTTTTGTATGAGACCGAATTTATTGAAAATGTGATAATTGATATATTAAATATTCTAATTAAAAATTATACTGCACTAAATGTACAAATATTTCCAAATATTGTCTCAGTCTCAGCAACACCGTTACCTTATCAGGTCCAACCCGTTTGTCCACATTGGGGTGGGGACATGGTTTATACAACAGAGAATGATATTGGGCCAAGGATACTTTAGTATTCAGTTGAAACAACTTGGAAGTCTTTATTCCTAACTAACCTGTGGCTCTAAGTTATTGAGAAGAGTTATTTCAAATGTTAACACATTTGATCCATATGACCTTTAAAGTAGGTATAGGTCATTTTCATTCTCAAACTTTGTTTGAGTCCATCTAAGGAAGCTATTGGTTAAATATTACGATTCTTTGCCGTTCACTTCTTCAAAAGAAGCCGTAAGCACATTTTTAAAAGTAAGTTTAGGTAATATGCAATAGCAATCGTTGTCGTGCTGTATGCCAGGAAGCTACCAGCTAGATATTAAGATTCTTTATCTTTCATTTCTTCTTCTTCAGAAGTCGTTTGAAGTGTTTGACATATTTGACCCCTGTGATCTTAATAGAAAGTCAAGGTCATTATTCTTTCTCAAACTTTGTCGGGCTCCACCCCAAGAAGCTACCAGCCAAACATTCAGATTATATACCTTTAGTATCTTCAGAAGTCAATTGAAGTGTTTGACATGTTTGACCCCTTTGACCTTGAAAGTAGGTGCAGGTTTTTCTAATTCGCAAACTGTGTCATGATCCAACCCCCAAAACTACGGCCAAATGAAGATTATATACCTTTTAGTTTTCAAGAAGTCGTTTGAAGTGTTTAACATATTTAACTCTGTGACCTTGAAAGTAGGTCAAACTTCAATGTAATTTTCAATCGCAAACTTTGTCGGGCTTCAACCCAAGAAGCTACAAGCAAAACATGTACTTTTTAGTTCTACAGAAGAAGTAGATTGAAGTGTTTTGACACATTTGACCTATCAGACCTTGAAATTAAGTAAAGGTCATTTTCATTGGCAAACATTGTCAGGCTCCATCCCAGGAAGCTATCAGCGAAATATTATAATAATCTATGCCTCTAGATTATTCAGAAAAAGCCATTTTAAGTGTTTGACATATTTGACCCATCTGACCTTAAAAGTAGGTCAAGGTCATTTCCATTTTCAAAACTTTGTTGGGCTCAATCCAAAAACACCGCCAGCCAAATATTAATATTCTGTACCTTTCAGTTCTTCAGAAGAAGTCGTTTTAAGTGTTTGACACATTTGACCCCTGTGACCTTGAAATTAGGGCAACATCACTTTCGTTCTCAAATTTGTCGGGCTGTTACCACCAAAGCTTTCAGTCAAATATCATGATATTAAGTCTGTCCATTCTTCAGAAGAAGGCGTTTAAAAGAAAACGATGACGACGACGGACGGACGGATGGACGACAGACACCGCGCCATGACATAAGCTCAGTAGCCCTTCGGGCAGGTGAGCTAATGAAACGAATAAGTACAATAAATGTGAAATCTCTATACGAAGGTGACATTGCATACCATTTTAGAAGGTCGTGCAATCGAGATGAGTAAACTTACTGTGGAGTTAATACTTTTGCTTCGAGTAATTTTAACATGTTCATGTTATCTATATAAAATATGATTATACCACCGAGGTTTCCTGTGTGTTCCTTCCGTTTATCCTTTATTTTGTTTTCGCATGTCTCCACGATATTCCTAAGATCTTGCATATGTTTGAGACATTTTTTGAGTTTGTCATAACATCCTGTCTGTATGTGCCCCTTTGCACGTAGCTCTTTCCCAACCTCAAATAATCCCTTTTCCACTGCATCGTGTGGCACTGGCGCGAACACATCCAGATATGCACAGAAATTCGACCACTTCGGATGGCAAGGGTACAGTTTGTCAGACAAATCATTAAACATATCAACTTCCAGAACTAGAATCTCCTCTTGCATCTCAGTCAAGAGGAGTTGATGCATGTCTCTGTAATAGAAAAAATATACCAATGTTTTCACGATCATTCGCTATGGTGTTTCGAAAAATTCAACTATCAAAACAACAAATTTAAGACGACATATAGTTATCTAACAAGAGTATTGTTTGCCTAAGATAATTTTGTATGGTGTCATGCAAGAATTATGTATGCGTGTTCTAGACGTGGCATTCCCTTTGTAGTGAAACCTGCATAAGATCACCTGCATATCAAGATCACTTTCTTATACCTGCTGAATAACTGAAAGCTCTCGATCAAGACTTCTTCCTGGACTTTATAGATAGGTTTGATGTCTGTAAGATAAGTAGCCCAATGTTAATTCACTACAAAGTTTAAAAGTTAGTTGCTTGTTGTTGTTTTTTGCAGATCAAACTGTAAATTTGTATTAAGATGAGTTATATTGATACAAAGATACGTATCGTTCACTTAAGGATAGATTTAACTCGTATTAAGATTTCCTTAATGTATATAATGGTTTTTATATATTATTTTTAATCATATTTGTATTTGATTTAAAGATGTTAAAACTTAGATATCTTAAAATGTGAATCTGTTGACCAAATAGCAATTGTTGATCTATAAATAGCAACATTGGTGTTTGTGTTTACCTTGGGGTCATGACATATGATGTCAACCTAGTTATTTTTATACTTGACCTTTGTTTTAAAACTTTGATAAAACTGGTTAAGAAATAAAGTCGATAGAGCCGTGACTATGAATCGCGATTGAACGGGACGGACATGGGTAACACAATATAAATTTGAAGATCAAACATATACTTATATTAATAGCAAATTCTGAATATTGACATTCCTATTGTGGTTTAAACGTTTCCTCAAACCTAGCTGTTAACTTCAACTTAAGGGTGTACTCTTCTGAGGTTTAAATCATGTTTGAATCTTTTCATAAAATTTGACAAATTACTATCAATTTAAAAAGCTGACATTATGTACATATAGCTGGAAAATGTGTTAAAATCTAGATGCCTACTGTTTGCAGAACTTGTTTTTATAAGTTTGAAAGAATTACCAATTCGGCAGCCGTTTGAATATCCAAAACAAAATGTGTTTGTATGCAATACTAAATTTTCACCTTTTCTAAAATCAATTCTATCATTAAAAGCGTTATGATATCGGCAAATTTACCTGTAGCAAGTTTTTTTTATCCCGCAGAAGCTGAAAAATAGCACAAAAATAGTATGGCAAAAAAGAAGCACAGTCTAACACCTATTTTGGCAGCTGTTTCAGGAAGAGAAACATATTTTCATTTCATCCGTTGATTGTTAAAAAGAGTTGAATTGCATAGCAAACGTTAATTCTGCCAAAAATGAGGGGTTTTTTTTGTATTTTTTCAAAATAAGGGGTTGGGTAACCTTAATTGCCCATATGAGATAAAAACATAAGTTTATGAAATTTCACTTTAATTATTCAGAGGAAAATACTTTTTTATCAATTGCGTAAACATTCATAGATTTCTGATAACACACTTCCAAGACATTGTATGAATTGGTTCTGCATATGATCAAATCAAACAATATCATCAAAAATCACATTTTTACAAATTCTTTCTACTTTATGCATTCAAGATGGCAATTTTCTGTCGATGTGGCACGCCCTCTCCTGTAAGTTGAGAGTATGTTTCTAAGCTCATGGCGTGTTTTTCTTGACGTTATATATCGACATCATTAACCTTGGACAAATAGCAATAGTGCTATACTGCCAAGGCATCACAGATGATACGAACACCCTCGTACATTAAAGTCAAAAGAAAAAGAAATTTGAAGTCTCTGACCGCAGAAGATGTGATGTTTGTGAATATATGTGTGAAGTGTCGTGACGATCGGAAAAAGAATGTAATCTGTATTGCAATTTCTATCAACCCCTATCTATAGTAACACTGACCTAGTGTTTTACCACAGCAGGGCGAAACGCAAACTCGTACAAGAGGTGATGTTTGTGAACACGAGTGTGAAGTGTCGTGGCAATTGGAGAGAAAAATCTGTGAAGTGGTGACGTCAAACATTCTATAAATTCTATTCAGAGAAATTGTGACCTTATTTTTGACCTCATCTCTGACAGGAAGTTATGTTTGTGAAAACGTGTGTGAGGTTTCATGACAATCGTATAAGAAATGAAATCTGTAGAGCGATGACGTCAAAAACTTTTTGACAGCAGAAAGTCGAAACGAGTACTCCTACAAAAAAGTGGATGATTGTGAAAACTTGTGTCAAGTGTAGTTAAAAGAAAATAAGAAAATAAGTCTGCGAGCAAATTCTATCAAACTCTATTTATAGTAACAGCGACTTAGTGTTTGAACGCAGGCCGAAACTCAAACTCATGAAACAGGTGATGCTTCAGAACACGTGTGTAAAGTGTCTTGGCAATTCGAAAATAAATTAAGTCTGTAGAGCGGTGACGTCTTCAAAGTTCAATGATGTCAAAGATGTTTTGATGATTAAAAATCGTACAGAGAACTTGGCCAGAACATACCTGTACTGTTCATCCATCTTCCAGATGTAGATGGTATATCATTTCGATCCAGTTTGTACATGCATCTGAAAATAAGGCATTTTGATAAAAACAATGCATTTAGTTTATAAATGATTGTCATGTGTTAAAACATGCTTCTAATAAGGGATTAAAATTTAAAAATATATCGCAATTGTTTTTCCCTGTACGTGAAAAATGTCAATAGATTTCTTCAAATTCTTCAGTTAAAATCGTGTATTTAAGGTGTTTTAATTAAATTAAGATATCTTGAGTTTGCATAATACCTTATACTGTATTAAGATACCTGAAAAAGGATATCAATACAAGCTATATAAAGTATGAGATAGTTAAAAAAAAATAGCCCCTTGGGCCTGTTTTGTTCATCTAGTTTTCAATGCAAAGCCCGAAAAAAATCATTTCATTGATACAAGCTTTATAGCCCTCAACTAGCCCTATCATGACCCTAGGGTTATTGATAGGAAGTGATTCTTAAGTCTTATTCATTTGACCCGTGATTTTGAAAGCGCATTATTGGGGTCATATATTTGTAAAAAGAAACTTAATAGCCCTTCATAGCAGCGTGCTACCGATAAACTTTGATGGTAGATAAAAAAAAATGATCTTTTTAAAAACATGTTTGACTCCTTTGACCTTGAAGTGGGCAATGTCAACCATGACCATAGACCTCTTGGTAATTCAGAAGATGATGCTTAAAGGTTTTAACACATTTGACCATATAATCATGAAAGTCGGTCAAGGTCATAACTTCGAGTAAGCCTGGTAGCTCTCCACCCAAGAATGTTCCATACCAAATACAGAAGAAGTTGTTACACATTTAACCGGTCATTCATTTGTCCATGTCCAACAGCTATCCACCCAAACATGCATTGTCTGAAAGTAACTTGATTTTTCCATAGAGACAATCGATCTAGAGGAAAAGAAGATTCCGTACCCAGACACGTTTTTAAATGCAGTGACATCAATATGTAATGTATCTAACTATTACTGGTGGGTGAAACTTATTCAAAAATCAAATTTGATTATTACTCATCTTTTAATTGAATTATTAGGGCATATTTACAGTCTATTATACACTGACATTCAGTCAGGACTAGATATAATATATTCTTGCAGTCCATATACTACAGTAAATAAACTACTAAATAACAAGTTCTCTTTGGGTACTAGTCAGTAACAGGTACTGGATTTCCCCCATTATCAATATGTATACATATCTTTGTTCCACTCCTGGAATATGTCGTGACAAAATTGAAGCTCTTTACGTGACACCTTGTGAATGATACAAGTAGACTAGTCCGATGTTTTGATGAAGATCAAAACAATCGCACAGCAGCGCAACGGTAAAATCGACAGGCTTAGAATTTGGGGGTAGCTCTTCTATATATAATCTTCAAATGACATGCATCGGTCAAGCGACTGATCAGTTTTTAGCTCATGAAAGCAATCAAATAGCTTACTGCAAGCCATTGATCTCGTCATGACATATTCTAGGGGTGCAAAGAAGATATTGTATCAAGGGAGGAACCCTTTGGTTTTGAAAAAATGCGATTACCCATGAAATTTTCGAAATTCGCTGCTTTAAGTTGCGATTACCAGTAAACTTCATCACTATTAAATTTGCATCAACAACAATATTACGGAAATATCATAATCTGATAAACAGCACATCGCCATCACTATCGTCTTGATCGTCATCTTAATCACTAAAATCAATATTGGAAACGTCGTTTATCTAGCCTTGCGTTTGCTAAGACAACGTGTTTGACTCTAAATCAGTCATTACCAACATCAACATCATCGCTAGAATACATCGTATATAATTATATCTATTATATTTCATTCACAAATGTGCGTCACTGTATTTGAACAACCAAGCGGCGTTATACCAATCCTAACACGATAAAGCCGAAAAGTGTTTGGAATCCGGGAACTTTAAATACTGTTTTACTGTCAAGTGGCTTCTCAAGCAATGTGGTTTAACCATTGGAGGCTAAATAACCATCGTAGATGTCGTCAGTGGCTGGATAGCTGCCTGCTTGCATACTACATTTGGTGGAAGCACTGTTGTACCTTGTGGGCCAGTGTCTGATGACTAGGGAAGGTGCATTGATACACAGGGAGGACCAATGGGATTCATCATGCTATGTCGAGCAACGGGACTTCTCGGAGAAGGAAAAATGTCCGAGTCAAGGAATAAGAGGGGGAAATACCTTCCTAATAAACTAGCTTTTCTAGTGATGCCGTGATACGTGCTCTACATTTTTTAAGCTCTACCGTGCGTGGTCAATGGATGGATGGATTTCCGGTCGCACGTAACACTTGGTGGAAGCTCCTAGACTTTGTGGTACTTTGTAAAGTCACTTTGGTTATTTACAAGAAGTTGTTTAAAACAATAAACATGTTTTAAATCTGTGAAACTTGATGGGGTTTCAAGGCTATTTATTTGAACCAATTTACTAACCTATATTCCAGCATGTCTCTAGCTAAATACCATCACCCTAAATCTAATGGTTATTCAGAAAAAGTCTTTAAAAACTTTTAAACCATTTTACTTCTCTGACATTCAAAGTGGGTCAAATTCACAAATTTGAAGAAACTTTATAGCCCGGATTAGCCCCTCGTCCTATCAAGTTACCGGTCATATAACATCACTAAAGGCCTGTCGATCATTCAGAATAAGTCGTTTAAAGTGACTTTAAAAGTAGGTCAAGTAGATAGGTACATATTCAAAAACAAAACATTACAAACAAGTATGTAACCAGTTAATTATATGCAGTTTGACCCATACCATACAATCTTATTTGGATGTAAAATGCAATAGAGTTGAACTACATTGAGCACAGCGGACAATTCCATCTAAAAATTCAAAAAGTAATGCAAACTCATCATAGCAAAAAGTGAAAGCTGTGAAGAGTCAGTTTTTCCACATAACATTGTAATGTCACTTGATACCACGTGTCAGATTAAACAGCTTTATGAAGTTTATGAAACTCATCAAGACGTATAAATGCCGATAGCGGTATTTTGTCAGGGAGAAATAATTATTTCTGAAGCATATATAAACAGATTATTGCAGAAATTGCATGAATCCTTGTTAGATAAGAAACAGATGGTAAATTAGCTTACATGTATTTCAGACATCAATATAGAGCATACAATAAGAAATCTTTACCTTGTTGTGACCGATGTTCATCATGCGTGACCGACTTGAAGGACTAATTGCAATGACGCAATACAAGACTCAACTTGTAGCATTTTGTCGCGCCTCTCCAGCGGGTAAATTACTACAAACTAAATTTAAACAATAGTAGGAACATTGTCATTATGTCCAAATCACAAAATCGAAGTTTAGATACAAATATATCAATCAAATCAACACAGTCACCTGATTACTCAGAAAATTGGGTGAATTTTGACCCAATTAAATCACGAAAACTATAGTACACCGATTCCATGACCTCATTATAAGAATAATATTACTTGTATGTACGTCTATACATGTCAAAATGAGTATTATTTCATTGTATGGGTTTTCATGACAATTCCAATTTTGTTACGTTAGGCCTATAGAAAGTGAAAGTAGAAATTTACCTCAACTAAAATGTAATTAGCTGTTAATAACCAATTATTGTTTAGAACCAAACAGTGAATGTACATGTTAACTATATAACATATAAGAACATTTACATGTAAAACTTACATTTGTGCTCCATCAAACCTGGTCAAATTAAGCTCGATTTCCACAGCGTGTTTACAAGTTAATATGCAGGCATATGACTAATCACAAAACCAAAATATGCAAGATCGGGAATGGTAAATCCGGAAAAAGCTTAATTCGAGTTTAAACATAACACGCTCTTCTGATTTTCCCTGAAATCACCGTACTTACAGAACTAGAAAGAGAGATCGATTTAATAATGGGGTACATGAAATATCATAAACAATAAATGAAAAAGGAGCATCCCCTAAACATAAGAGATGACTGTCAATTGATTGTTAATAATGAGCCCCTTTACGTAAAGGTAATCTGCTCTTAAAACACTTGGGGAATGACATCTTTCTTGTCAGGAGAAAAAGAAATAACCATACTTCTCGGGTTGGTGTTTGAACGTAGTTTCTTTTCGTGGAATGGAAGCGGATTGTCCATGGATAATCACCGTTCTGATGAAACTCAACGATCAGAATCTTCAAGGAGGTTTATCTTCAACAGAGAGTCCAACCAATCGTTGTTGGATTTCATGAAGGACCGATGGATAAATTGCGACTATTCTGAGGTTTACTAGTGAAGGTGACATTAATCGTATTCTTTATATGAACGTTATCATCGAGACAGACTTCACAAAACAGACCCTTATTGGGAGGGCTTCTGCTTGTGATCAACATGTTGATCAGCGACTGGATGTGCTGCTATATGAGTCCCCTGGAGCTCAACACACTGGAACATTGTATCCCGATTCCAGATTCAGCGTAGCGAATGTGTGCGAATTGTACTTAGTCTTTTAACTCGGTGTTACCACGTCTTCAATCATTACAAGATTGTAAGATAGTTGAACAGATTACATAAAACGCTTTATGTACATTCAAATGTAAAATAAACAATGCAAAAAGTTCAATGACGCATCCAATACCTTCAACAATGTCGTTTCAACTCTATACACTGATGTGCAATATTGTAAGTAGGATTAAAATTAACTGAAACAAAGAATATTTTACGTCTTACTTAACTCAACAAAAATCCACTTATGATGTCACGCTTGATATTTGACTCTGTTGCTATTTGTTGTACCGGGAATACCTGGTGTGTACAATGTCTAGCTGGTCATCTACTGATGGTATGTGAGAACCTATTTCGTGTAGATGGCCATGGGGAGGCTGCTGACCTACTTCACGTTATGATATATCATTCTTGGTGTTTTTGATATCTTCACACTCAACAAGAGTGGGAACCTGTGTTGTCTAGGGACTCAACGACATATTCGTCAGGTCGTCTGACAAATCTAGGTTTGTTTCCTTCGCGGGACACCAGACGGTACTCGAACATCAGACTTTCTTCATAGAAAGCTTGAAAGAAAGACGTAACCGCCGGTGATTTTGCCTTCTCTAACTTCGATTAGGAGAATTTGNACAAATCTAGGTTTGTTTCCTTCGCGGGACACCAGACGGTACTCGAACATCAGACTTTCTTCATGGAAAGCTTGAAAGAAAGACGGAACCGCCGGTGATTTTGCCTTCTCTAACTTCGATTAGGAGAATTTGTTACAGTTATATTTTGGACATAAACTAAGATGTTCAGAGTAATTTAACATGTTTTAGGGTTTTAGATCGACTTTCGGTAAAAACTGAAGACACCCACAATGATCATGGTTGTCATTTTTACCGAAAGTCGATCTAAACCTCTAAAACATGTAAAATTATTCTGAATATCTTAGTTTATGTCCAAATATAGCTGTAACAAATTATCAGGTCCGTGTGGTTTCGACCTAAATTAACTTGACTCGGCTTTATAATTGACCGGGAACAAATCTTATAACGCAGAAGGATGACTTATTAGGATTCTTACAATATCACATGTCTTCTTCTTCTTTAGGCTGCAGGGGCTCCATCAATAATGATGATTATGCCCTCGAGGGTCCTATCACAGAGGCGTGAAAAAAGGGGTCATTTACAGTGATTAGTTTGCGTGTTTTTTTGTGTTTTTTTGTGGGTTTTTTTGTGCGAGGTATAGATAAAATGTAAAAGCTGGCGTATGTTTTAGCGTGTGATGAGGGCTTCAAGGGCTGCATAGGGTATGTGTGCCTTGAAGTCCTCTAGTGTTGTGCATTGTACTGCTGCTATGGGAAGGAGATTCCATTGTATTATTGTGTGTGGAAAGAATGAATATTTGTAGGTGTCCTTTGTAGCAGATATGTGTTTGTATGCGTGAGTGGGAAAGCGCCGTGTTTGTAGTGCTACGGGTGTGAATATATGTTGGGTTCAATAGCTACGATTTGGTGTACAATTTTGTAAAAAAGGATCATTCTTGTGGGAAAGCGCCGTGTTTGTAGTGTTGGCCATTGTAGTTTGTGGATCATGTCTGTTATTGAGCTAGTGTTGTGGTATCTGTTGCACAAAAAATGTTCTTGAACAAACTTGTGGTCCATTTGTTGTGCAGCGAGCATTTTCCCCGGCGCTGTTCTCAGTTGAGATCGGTTGCTGTTTCCCGTTACATTTATTTATTTATTAATTTCTGCCACATCATAAATGTAATTTTATCAAAAAACGAGATGGTTGGAGGTCATAGAATATCATATCTGAATTTGTATGTTTTTTGCGTCCCGTGTCAACTTATCCGTTACAATAGGCCTAGTTCATTAAGATTCATAATGGTCACCTCTTTTTTTTAGAAATAAAGAGAATTTTGATAATCTCATTTTGAGAGAGCATTCCACGTCCTCGAGGCTCCAATACATCGATCAAGCTGTTACTATATATATACCATGCGCGTGTATGTATAAGTTGCGATGCACGTGCAAAACTCTACCAACAATTAATACCCTGCAGGCGAGACGTGGTTCCGATTTCTACTGTCAGGTGAGGGCACACGAATTTATTTTTATTATAATATTTTCGAAATTTGCTAACGAACAAAACACTAATAACATATATAACATAAAAAGTATTGAGCTGTATTCTAAATACACAATGTAATCTAAATAATTATATGCGATGTCAAATTTCAATATATACATATACACAGTGATATACACACATAACGGTTATGTTATTACATGTGTAGCAATATATAAGTTAAGCATATATACATACCTCTATATCATTTTTTTTTAAATTAATGACATACTGGCAATATAAGTAGATATCTTTGCTCTTTATAAAAAAAACTTGAATAAGATTATGTTTTTACCCGCTGTGTAAATAAATGATTAAATATATTTTTGTGCGAATGGTTTTCTTTAGTAATAATCATCGAATCCTTTTCTGTTATGCACCATAACAGCATAAGCCTAGCACCATCATCACATCCCTGCGCATTAGCCTATTTTGACTTAAGCAAGTCTAGTCGTGTTGCATTATGGGGGATTAGAATTAAAACGGATCTGATAATATTGAATATTACAAAAGCTCAATGAAGCTATAAGCAAACATACAGTTTATCTGTTTATTTCTTTCTTTCAATTAAAATGCATTCTGAGGTTTCCCACTCCACATACAATTGTATTCAATACATTTAGTATTGTATTTTTTAGGTTCTAAGCGACATAGCAGGAATTCAACATCCGTCAAGAAATATAAACAGAAGTAAAATCTTGCGCAATAGATTTCGAAAAGCTAGCTCTTGTGTTGTCAAATCGGATAGGGAAAAGCTTTCGGGGTAAAATGCAAATATGGATATCAAGGAACTATTCTATGCATGTAGAGCAGGAGATGTCACGAAAGTGCAGTAAGTACAATGCAATGACAAACAGTCGATTTCAGTCTGTCATGCACCATGATCATGCAGTTGCACTCCCGTATATAATCATACTGCATAGCTACCTGGCAGGGTCTAGACATTGTTCTGTTGTAACGCCAGGATAGTATTAGCACTCTGATACATGTTATGGATATTATGTGTTTTAAATTTATTAGATAATTGAGAATATCGTCATCGACTGTTTCCTAACTTTACGTCAACAAATCTGACTGTGTCGCGTCAAGTGTTGTGTGTGCAGCAAGGCGCGACTGAGGTCATACACTATACACATACAACAACGCAGCACCGTGTTGTATGCTGATTACGTGTATACATGTATCACAGGTGTTCGTTACAAATGTCTGAAATTCACATATGATGCTCTATTGACCTATCTGAAATAGGTCTTTAGAGCTATTTTCATGTGATTTTCTTTTTTAAGGAAAACAAAACGAAGTCGCTTTTAAAAGAAGATTTTATCATTAGGTTGATAACAAAAGACATTAAATAGAAGTATTCTTTTTAAAAAATAATGATTTTAAAAAATCGGAAATTTTACATAAAATTGATGAAAAATGAAAATAAACTTCTAAATGTATGCTTTTGGTAGTCAACATTACCATAAACCTGATTGTTTTATACGACTTTGCTTTAATTTAATGAAAATTGAAATCTGAGAAAATACAGCTCAATACAGCTATGATTTATACAATTTATAGCTAAAGGTCTTTATAGCTATATAGCTCAATCAGCAGAGTGTACTGGACCTAATATATACTGATATGCTCGCAGCATGCCTAGCAACAAACCCCTGTGTCTCAACCCATCAAAATAATGTGTAGTAGGCCTAGGGAGGGTATTGGGTACAATATATATTAATTATACGTTTAATTTATCCTGTGGCAATACACTGTCGGTCAGCTAAGTGACGTGTATTAGACTGTGATATTCGTGTGATCGTGTCCAGTATATCTAGTGCACTCAGTAATTTACATACCTGTAGTTATTCTTTAGAAAGTGTAGTTGAACTGTGATGTTGTTAGGCCATATCTGGATGACTGGGGTTGACCCTGTCGTGCTGTGTATTGACTGGACAGTCGAGAACATACCACATATAGTTTCGCACGAGCGTATGTGCTTCGGAGGTGTAGACTATGGTATAAATACAGTTGTTTCATGTGAAATAGGGGCCAGTCGAACAGATTTGTTTCCGGAGGTGTGCCACATTTCTTGCTAGGTATAGCTTTATTAGCACCGGGCGGGTGGTCGTAGACCCTAATGGCTAGGGTTTTTTACAAGCTTATGTAGGACCTAGACCCAGGGGCGGGATCGTGTGTGAATTTAGTTTATTTGGATCCTATTATCTCTTCTTTAGCCGACAGATTTGGTACGTTGAGACCTAGCGAACCTAGGTTGAGAACATAGGGTGATGCGGGACTCAGGGACACACTAAATACGGATTATGTGCGTGATTTGCCCGGAGCCCTATTCCTTGTCCTATTACAAATGCTCCCAATCTGCTTTGTGTTTGAAAACAATTGTTGATTAAACTTTTCTCTTTTTGTTTACTGTACTGTGTAGTTTAATAAAAATTCAACAATGTTTTGTGGTTTGTATTACAGATATTTGTTCGAGCAGAACGAAGTGGAATTAAATGTAATTGACAAGTGGGACTGTTCTCCACTGTAAGTATATATTAACCACATGATTGGCAACGTAAAAACTAACATTAAATCCATAACCCTTGATTAATGGGCAACAATTCAAGCACTACAATAAAAAAACACACACAATTTTACTATTTTGATTTCAAGCATTTGTTTAACTTGACCTGGCAAAAGTGTATAACTAACATACACAGAGGTAGGGGAAAAAAATCATCTCTCGTAAAAGTGATGTTTACCTTTTTTTCCCAATTTCTCTTTTATCTACACCGTGTATATGATATCATTCATTTTCTATGACATTATATAATAATAAAATTATTGTTTTCTATGTACATGTAGGAATCATATTGCATATTTTCTGTTTAGGTATATATTACATGTGTCTGATCTTTTTGTTTCTATGTAGGTACTATGCCTGTTTATGTGGACATGAAGAACTTGTCTAGTATCTGTTGGAAAATGGTAATTATGAGCTCAACCCTGGTCAAGCTGACCAAAGTGAGATTGTGCCACATCATCGCATCTGTTATTAGTTATACCCAATCTGTCAACAATTTTTCAAATGACTTAAATATACATATACCCTAATGACAAAGAGATATTGACCAAATTTGACTTAATTGACTCATCCTTTGTTAATCAGAATTTAGAATTGTACAAATGTAAGGACTTATTACCGAAGGGGCTGTAATGTGATCTTGACCAGAAGTAGGTAATTTTGCCGTTATCATATATATATTGCTATTTAATTCCAGCATCACCTTCTTTGGAACTTCAAGTTATGTGTCCAACTTTGGGTGGCAGCATCCTCACGATTATGCACTTCAATCAGAGGAGTTGACCCCCCCCCCTTAAGTATTTCTAGATCTTACAGCTAACACAGGCTGTTTCTACTAATGTAACAGGACTGGACTTTGCCATTGTCCGAGTCCCACTGTCAATCCAGGTAGCGGAGTACAGTAGAAATGACTTGATCCTAAAAATAAAGGGCATGTCTCAGATAAACATGGATAGCAGATTTATCCTGCACAACACACCATTTTTTAAATGTGAAGCCAACATAGTCCTTCATCATGTATATGCTAATTTTAGTGCTGATTTTTTTGTAAAACTTTGATATGTGTAATATTACATGGGTTATTCATTGTACAAAAATATCACCACCGTACGCTACTGTACACTACTTCCCAAGGTCCAATTTGGTTGTCCTCGGGTTCCTCTGTTTAATACAGTACTCTGACCACAAATCTCAAAATACCACAAGAACACTCAATGTAAAACATTCAACTCCTCCATTATTAGCAGAAGGATGTATTGTATGTCAGATGTATACTGAAACATTGAAGTAGTATTNTCAAATTCGTTTTTTTTTTAAAATGTGAAGCCCACATAGTCCTTCATCATGTATATGCCAATTTTAGTGCTGATTTTTTTTAAAAACTTTGATATGTGTATTATTACATGGGTTATTCATTGTACAAAAATATACCACCGTATGCTACTGTACACTGCTTCCCAAGGTCCAATTTGGTTGTCCTCGGATTCCTCTGTTTAATACAGTACACTGACCACAAATCTCAAAATACCACAAGAACACTCAATGTAAAACATTCAACTCCTCCATTATTAGCAGAAGGATGTATTGTATGTCAGATGTATACTGAAACATTGAAGTAGTATTCAACTTTAACAGTAAGTATGATTCACTACTTCTTAAGCAATGCCAGCTGTAGAGTATGTGTTGTTGGTAGATATTGTTCTGCTGACAAAACGGACAACATACAGAAGAATATCATATACATGTATATATGATGACGCATACCAGAAAGTTACCCTATGTGTGACTTAACATTTGGAACCGAACAAGTTGTAACATGTGAACATATGTGAACATGTGATAAACTCGCTCCAGTTCCTGTGCAGAATTATTTATTATGTATCGCAAAAGGCAATGTAAAGAAGTAACAGTGAATTTGATGCACGATACACTCAGTTTGGTCAAAACTATCCTATATATTAAGATTGACTTTGAATATTATTTTGTGATATAATGGTGTTACATTTGTTTATAGGAGCTCGGTGTGAGGCTAACACCTTTGATGGCGAGCGTTGTTTGTATGGAGCTCTAACTGATAAGATTCGGAACCTTCTCAGGCAATACAATGTCATCTCCTCTAAACAGCTGCGAAGAGACCTATATGAGGAGTTCCTCCGGAAGTAAGTAACATGCTTTCCTATAAATGAATTATCTCAAAATACTAACAATTCTTATTATTTACTATGACTAGACTTTACTTGTATATATATCTATGCTTTATCTATAATGTAGACTTCATATGTTTGCTGTATCTATACTGTAGACTTTACTTGTATATATCAATGCTGTATCTGTACTGTAGACTATACATGTTTGCTGTATCTATATTGTAGACTATACCTGTGTATGCTGTATCTGTACTGTAGACTGTACTTATGTTTGCTGTATCTATACTGTAGACTTTACTTGTATATATATCTATGCTGTATATGTACTGTAGACTATTCTTCTGTTTGCTGTATCTGTACTGTAGACTT